TTCCCTTTTGAAAATCTGGTGGTCCTAGTAAAATTTTCTTAAAAATCCAAGTTTTTTCTGAAATTGGTTCGAAGGACTTCCCAAAAAAGCATGTCGTGTTATCTGCAGGCCCTTAAAAATATTATTCTTTAAAAATCTAAATTTGGCAACGTAATCCTTTTATGAGTATTTTTAAAAATCCACGACATTAGGTACCAATATTTTTTTTTTATTTATAGGACACTTATAGTCCTCAAAAAATCTAAAAAAAATCGTTATTTCTTGGTTCAGAGAGGTATTTTGGGAGGCCCCCTGATAGTACTTCTAAAAATATCCTATACAAATCAAGATTCTTTCTCGAAAATTATTCTTATAATCCGTGATCCAAACCCCGTTCGCTCCTAGAAATGTTCGAGACAAAATAGTTTCACAAAAAATATTTTATAAAACTCCCTATTTCAGTTCAAATAGTTGCCGAAAAATTAAGTCTGGCTTTGAAATTCGTATGAAAAACATTCTTTTAAACCAGAAATCTTCTCGAAAATATTATTAACGCTTAGCGCTTATAGCAATTTCTGTTAAAAATTGACGATTTTGCTCCAAAGGTTTCTCCAAAAAAAAAAAAAAAAAAAAAAAAAAGACCATGTGGCAGAAGTTCATGATTTTATGGCAGATAGTTTTTCAAACTACATGCATTTTCAAAGCTTCCAAATTAGTATCTGCCCCTTTTCTGAAAAATGTCCAAAAAATCTCAAATGTAAAAGTGCAGTGAAATATATTCTTAAAAAATCACGATTCTAGCCCAACTAGTTTCTTTTAAAATACTTTAACAATTTGATATCTTCTACTGAAATCCTGTCTATGCCTACCCTCGTATATTTACTCAAAACACAATCATCACTTTGCTCGTTGTTCATTTTAGTTCATAACAAACATACAAAAAATATTTACATACGTTTTGTTGTTTCTTAAATTGGTTTTTCTTTTATTTACACGGACGATTGAGAAACATCTACGGCGAATAATTTTTTTTTTTACATTCTCCAAAAAAAAAAAACACACATACAAAGTCGAAGTATGAAGTGGTCCTTTAAGGAGGCACTCATAAACCAAAAGATTATTTTTGGACAGGCATGTGGAAAACGGAGTGTTGGCCCTGAGTATTGTCAATTTGTCAAATGCCCAAGTTTGGGTGCGGTACAACAAAGATTTAAATGTAAAAATTTTTAATTAAATTTACTCGCTCATGTGAGCCATGAAATTGTGTTATTTAATTTGAGCAACAGCAGCAAAAAATAAAAGTCATTGGTATATTTTAGTTGATTCACTTATCGCATGGGCAGGCGGGATAGGTGCGGGGACAGTATTAAGGGTTTGAAGTGCTTGGAATTTTTATTTGTATGTTTCCGTGTATGTTGTAAATGTGGGTGTGAATATTTGTTTGTTGATTATATGTTGTGTTATAAATAGTAGAGTAGAGAGAGAGAGTGAAAGCTAGCCGTTACATGTTAAATTGTTGTAAATGTCCTGAAATACCAACCATGCATGGTAACACACATACATCGATTCACATATAGTGGAAATCCATTAATATATTTCACTGCCAATAAGCCAAAGTTCATCAATCATCGATTATTTTCCATTGGCATGGACATGAATTCGTTTACTAAACCATCTATCCATCGACGAGTAGAAAGTTGTTAGTTGATAGCTTGTGGACTGAGAGGGTTGGTAAAGGAAAGAATTTTAAATTGGTAGCACTGTTAAGAGTTGGGTTAATTAATAGAGGAAAATAGGAGTGGTCCTTAACTTGCTATTCCGGAATGTCCATCATTCGTAAAATTTGTTTTATAAGTTTTATCAAAATTTAAGTTCCACAGATTTCGCTACGGGTAAATGGTGAATGTATGAAACTCTTTCGCTGTCTTAGTATACCCTACACCATATGTACCATATGTATAGGTACACCATATTGTGTTGAGGGCATCTTAAGCTTTTTCGTCAAGGCATAATAAAGTAAGATCTACTTAAAATTCGGAGTTCAAAAATGTGTTCTGAGTCCACAAACACCCCTATAGCTAAATGACGTCAACTGCTTATACAAATCCTTGTTGCTTACACCAACGTTAAGAGGCATAGTGCTTGATTTATTAAAGAACATTGTTGGGCGTGGATTTTTTAAAGAATATTTTTAGTCGTGGATTTTTAAAGAATACTTTTAGACGTAGTTTTTTAAGGATATTTTCAGACATGGATTTTTTAAGGATATTTTCAGACGTGGTTTTTTTAACAAATATTCTTATGCATGGCTTTTCTAACAATTTTTTAGAGAATATTTTCAGGTGGGGATTTTTTAATAAATATTTTTAGGCATGAATTTTTTAGAGAATGTTTTTAATAGTTGATTTATTAAAGATTTTTTCAAAGAATTTTACTTAGAGTGGATTTTTAAAGTATTTTTTTTGGTGTGGATTTTTTATAAAAATTTTCCTGGCGAGAATTTTTCAAAGAGTTTTTCTTGGAGAAGATTTTTTGACGTGGAATTTTTAAAAACTTTTTCTTGTAGTGGATTTTTAAAGAATTTTTCTTAGTATGAATTTGTTATTTTTTTCGGCACGGATTTTTTAAAGATGTTTTTATAATAAATTTTGGTCGTTAGTTTTTTAGGCGTGAATTTTGTTATAGAATATTTTTATACATGAAGTCCTAACAAATATTTTTAGGCATAGATTTTTTAAAGAATATTTTTAGGCATGCATTTTTAACAAATGGATTTTTTAAAGAGTGTTTTAAGGAGTGGATTTTTTAAAGAAAATTTTAAGGCGTGGATTTTTTAAATAAACTTTTAGACGTAGATTTTTTTAAAGTATTTAAGGCGTGGATTTTTTAAAAAGTATTTTAAGGCGTCGAATTTTTAAAGAATGTTTTAGGCGTGCATTTTTTAAAGTATGTTTTAGGGCGTACATTTTTATTTTAAAGAGTAAAGAGTAAAGAATATTTTAAGAAGTGGATTTTTTAAAGAATATTTAAGGCGTGCATTTTTTAAAGAATGTTTTAAGGCGTGTATTTTTTAAAGTACGTTTTAGGGCATGCATTTTTTAAAGTATATTTAAGGGCGTGGATTTTTAAAGTACATTTTAAGGCGTGTGTTTTTCAAATAATATTTTAAGGCGTTGAGTTTTTAAAGTATATTTTACTGCGTGGATTTTTTAATGTATATTTTAGGGAGTTGGTTTTTTAAATAATATTTTAAGGCGTGGATTTTTTAAAGTATGTTTTAGGTCGTGGATTTTTAAAATATATTTTATGGCATAGGTTTTTTAAATAATATTTTAAGGTGTGAATTTTTAAAGTATATTTTAGGTCGTGGATTTTTTAAACATATTTTATGGCGTAGGTTTTTTAAATAATATTTTAAGGTGTGGATTTTTTAAAGTATATTTTAGGGCGTAGGTTTTTCAAATAATATTTAAAGGCGTGGATTTTTTAAAGTATATTTTAGGTCGTGGATTTTTAAAATATATTTTAGGGCGTAGGGTTTTTAAAAAATATTTTAAGGCGTGGATTTTTATAAATGTATTTTAGGGGTTGGTTTTTTTCTTGGTGTAAATGTTTTAAAGAATTTTTCTTGGCGTAAATGGATTTTAAAATAATTTTTATTAAGGCGTAAATTTTGAAAGAATATTTTTATGCTGGCGTAGATTTGTTAAAGAATGTTTTTAGGCCGGCATAGTTTTGTTAAAGAATATCTTAGGCTGGCGTAAATTTCTAAAAAAATGTTTTTAGTGACGGTTTTAGAGTTCGATTTCTCTAAGAATTTTAAGCATGGTATTTATTAAAGAATATTTTTAGGCTGGCCTAATTGTTTTTTCTTTTTTGTTTTGAATTTAGAAAAGATTTTCAGACGTGGATTTCTTTAACCATTTTTTGGTGTGGTTTTAGAAAAGATAATATGTATTTGTAACAAATATTTTTAGGCACATATTTGAAGAATTCCTCCACAATTTCTTTCAAAACCAGCTTTAATTTAATTTTTTGGCTTCTCATTACGTAGAATTTTCCCATACAAAAAATTTCTGAATAGACCCAATATAATAACTTGAAATTAAATTATGGAGGTATTTTCTATAGATATTGTCTACTTGTACAATCTGATATTTGAAAGAGAATTTAATGAAATTTCACATTTAAGATTCTCAAACAATATATACTAATTACTTACTATTACATAAATACTAATTACTATTTTCTAATTTTTCTTTTCTCTTACTTCCTTGAAAAATCCTCTCCACTGAACAATTCCAAACTTCATTTTTTCACCCACAAAATAATCGTTTCTCATATCTATTTTCTTTCTTTCGCCCTTTGTCCCCCTTAAACGTTTCAATAACGAAAATCAAATATTGACATTATGGCACAAAACAAACTTTAACAGACCATATTTTCACCAACATAGCATTGTATTGGCATTTGTGTAAATATGGCCGTGGCTATTGCCACTAACTATGGGAAACCATTTTTGAAATGACCTCCAGAAACGTCCGTCGATTCGCTGCCATCACCACTTGGAAAGTTGTTGAAAAATCCACCCAAAGCCATTGGAAAAACACCCCATAAATATTTATTGATTGCCGGCAACTTTTCCCTTGGCCATGGTTATTCCGGTTGAGTTTTTAGTTTTGTTTTGGGTCAAAGTGCCAAAGTTTTCGGCAACAAGCCAAGCAGAGGAGGTGAAGGAGAGCCGGGGGGGTGAGGGAGATACATGCTTCGTTGACTAAATGTTTGCAGCGTCACCAATGGATGGTAATTTGTAAACAATGTCTTGTTAAATGGAGCGACAATAAGCGCATCAATTTATTTGCCTAGCCAATATTGTTGCCAACAAATAACGGGGGAAGAGGGGATGGAGGTCATTTTATGGACCAGAAACAATTTCGGTGTTGACAATTCAATTAATGACGGATCAGAAAACAGAAAAATTGATTTCTACCAAATGCTTTTCGTTTCTCATTTCGTTACAGGGACTACTTTTACGACAGCTACTATGCCTCGACCATGAATCGCAACAATTCGATACGACCGAAAAAACGCAAACGCCTTATGAGCAATTCCAGTCGCCTGGTGGCCATGAGTGATGCGGTGAATAGCAGTAACCTGAATGCTGCCATGGCAGCTGCCTCAATGGCTCAGCAGCAGCAACAGTTGGTACAGCATCAACAGCAGCAACAACAACATCATCAACAGCAACAGGCCGCTGTTGTTGCAATGGCAGCCATGGCCAATCTGTTGCCACAACAGCAAATGATGCTTCACCACCAGCAGAGTATGTTGAGCAATGTCAATGGAACAGCTGCCACGTGCAATGGCGCCACAACGGCACCCCATCATACCAGTCTGAGTATGTATCTGCAACAGCAACAACAACAGCAGCAGCAACAACAAGCGGCAGCTGCTGCCGTTGCTGCGGCCCAATATGCCGCTGCAGCTACCAATGGTTCATTACAATTGAAAATGTCATCACCATTGATGGCCGGCCCCACAGGACAGGCATCGACGAATTCATTGCTTGCCCAAGACAATGATCAATTACTGGCGACCACAACAGCATCCTCGAACCACCAGTCACATTTGCAGCAGCAACAACAACAGCACACATCAGCAACGTCGGCCCATATCATCCAGCCGTTGAGTTTGTCGGTGGCTTCACAACATCAGCATCATCATTATCAACAGCAACAACAACAACAGCAGCAGTTGCAAAAACAACAGCAACAACAATATCTATATGAACAGAGCCAACAACAACAGCAGCAGCAACAACAACAACAACAGGAAGACCAAGATCAATTATCATTGAACAATGCATGGGGACCATTCAAAGTTTACAGTGAGTAAAAGTTAAAAAAAAATTAATAGATTCTACAGATTTTTAGTTTGTAGGAAAAGAAGAAGAAGACCTTCTATTGTCGTTGTATAGAAAAAAGTCCTTTGTTTTGGTCTTATACCTAAAGAAGACTGTATGTGGTGTTACTATAAAATCTTATATTTGGAAAGTAAACCCTCAACGGATATTCCAACAATAGATGACATTTTATTCAGCTTCCGAAAAATAGGTCTTCTACAAAAAGAAAATTTGTAAACGTATTCTAAAGAAAGCAGTTCTACTACAGGTCTTTTTCGTTTGAAAATGAACCGTTCTTCTCCACCCTCAAAAAATCTGTCATAGATCGGAGACTTTCTCTAGGAAGAAGATTTTCCATTGAGTTTTTATACCCTACAATACTATGTGTTGGGGGTATTATAAGTTTGATTGGGCCAAAAATTATGTAACACCACGAAATATTGGTCTCCCACATAGGAAAGTATATATGGATCTTCCTATCTCGCCGAGCTGAGTCGATCTAGCTATGTATGTCCGTCCGTCCGTCTGTCCATGTTAATTTGTAATCACTCTACAATTCGCAATTATGGTCCGATCCTCACGAAATTTAGAATGGAGGTGGGGCTAGGGTCAGAATAGAACCCTATTTCTTTTGAAGATTATTGAATAATATTTAGGGGTTGAAATGGACCAAAAACTGAAAAAATTCCTGATTTTGCAGTTGCTCTACAGGACGCGAATATAGACCAATCAAAGCGGAAGTTAGCATGGGGCTAAAGCTTGGGGCTGGGCAGAAGCCTTCCAATTTTGATGGTCATCGGGTAATATTTAGTGGGTGAAAAAAGGCCACTACATTTGTGTTAAATAAAAGTCAAATTTTTCATTAAACAGCGAATATTCTTAATCCCGTCGAAATCACAAATAGACGAGCAGGTCAATTCTGACCGTTACCTAGATGCCGATAAAAAATACATCGATTATATATAGCGAAATGTATACAATGTGTATATACAAAGGAAGGGGATGTTAGTTAGACTGCTTATATCTCAAGAATGGCTGGAACGATTTTGACATTTCGGAATGCTCTCTTGACATAAAAGTATAAAATGTAAAAAAATCGCAGAAAAATATGCCAAAAATGATGTTAATTTAGATTTTGTAGTATTTTGTGACATTTTTTTATATTTTCATATCTTTTTATCGCATGCGATTTTTTCAATTTGACTTCTAATATTTTGTAATATTTTTTCACCTTACAACACAGGTTGGGGATGTTATATAAGTATTGTAAATATCGTCCGATCCTCACGACAATTTTCACAAGGGTAAAGTTGGGCTCAGAAGGGCTAGGCCTATTGTTTTCAAATATATCCGCCATATATTAGGGGTTGAAATGGACCAACAACTAAAAATGTTCCTGATTTTGCAGCCGTTATAAAGGTCACAAATAGAAACCAAAGGATACGAAATCTCGCATAAAGTAGGAGTTTAGGACAGCGGGTACAATGGGCCACTAATTTTGTGTGAAAAAATACCAGCATTATTTACAGGCGATATCCGAAATACACAAAAGGTGAACTTCCGGCTTTTTTATGCTGATTTCGTTGACGAATATAGCCAAATATCGAGACAAGCAAATCATATAGATGAGTCTAAATTTGGAGATACGGAGGGGCTTCTTGCTTTTGTAGATGATTGCAAAATATTTAGGGGTTCAAATTACCCAAAAACAGAAATGTTTTTCCGATCACACAATTGAAGCCAAGAATTCTAGCATTTCGGATGACCATTGGATTATATTTTGCTATAAAATGGACCACAACAACTAACAGCACGACGGAGTGCGTAAATATTGGGCATATATCCCTAGTCAAAATCCTAATTTCAAAAGTGAAGTCTTCCAATAAGGGGGCTTCTAACATATTGTAGTGTTGTAGGGTATAACATAGTCGGCCTCGCACGACTATAGCCTTTGCTTACTTGTTTCTATTGAAAAAAATCGGTATTTTCCACCCTCAAAATATCTGTCATAGATCGGAGACTTTCTCTAGGAAGAAGATTTTCCATTGATCTTTTAGAGACTAAAGTCTATACATAAGTCTTTTGAAGAAAACATACAATTTATTGGTCGTTTATGGATCGTCCATAGAAGAGTGTGCTCTTGCTTTAGAAATATAATTTCCTTTTTTCTGAAGAATGTTGACTTTCATGTAGAAATGTCTTCCATAGTCCTTCTATAGAGAGAAGACTTTTGAAAAATTAAATATTCTGTTGACCTTATCAAGTAAGAGACCTTCATAGGTAGGAGACCTTGTATGGGTCCTCAATTGTTTATAGTTCAATAGATATAAATATTTTGTGCTTATAGCTCATCGTTAGATATAGGCAGACGTTCTGAAGAAAAGAAAATCTTCCAAAGATCTCAATAGACAGAAGACCATTTATTGGCCCTAAATAGCTCTTCTATAAACGCAATTCCATTACGATAAATGACTTCCTATGTAAAGTGACCACATTCTTCCAATGACTAAAGACCAACTATAGGTTCCTCTAGTTAAAATCATAGTTTACAGAAAGCCAATAAGGGTCTTGGCTTCAGAAAAGACCAACCATAAATCTTGTATTGATACAAGATCTTCTCCACATGTAGGAAATAGCGTCAAATTTTAGAATAAGTTTGATTTGTTTCAATTTGTCAACTTCGGCACGACTTATGGCCTTAAAAAGGCCAATGAAACCGTCGAATGTTGCTTTGCGGTATTTTGGCCCACTACCGGCGAAGCGCTTGCTTGAGGTGATCGACCATTTGGTATTTTTTAGTGCCAACCTTGCTTTCCAAAATACTCCAGACACAATAGTCCAATGGATGGGTATCCGAAGATTTTGGTGGCCATTATGCGATGGAAATGAAGCGAGGAACCTCATTTTGTAACCATTCTTGGGTGGCGCGTACTGAGTGCGACGATGCTGAGTCCTGTTGAAATGACCAAGGTCGGCGGACAAAATATTTGCGTGCCCAAAGCTTTAATACACCCTCCAGAATATTTTCGCGATAATATTCGGCATATATTTTGATGCCACGGAATTGATACGAGCGGAGAGCGACCATCGGCTATTATGGTGGCCCACACCATCACCATGGCCGACGCATGAGTTCTGGTGGCCAACAGAAGGTGCACATTTTCAACTGACCTCTTTGGCAAGTAAACACGATCATTTTGTTTGTTTATAAACTGCTGGACAACGAATGGTTTCTCGTCGGAGAAAACCAAATTCGGCAGTCCACCATTTTCGGTCAAGCGAAGCAACTCTTTAGCTCTTTCGAGTCTATTTCTTTTCTGTTGCGGTGTAAGTTCTTACACTTTTTGGAATTTCAATGGCTTTACCCCAAGCACATTTTTCAATATTTGCCGAATCGAATATTGCGATATGTTCGGCTCTCGAGCCGTTTTTCGGCCATTGCGAAGCGAATTACGATCAAGTCGCTTCTTTACTTTTCGAACCATTTCTGCTGATGTTGCTGTTTTCTTCCATCCACTTCCATGACGTCGGGCTACGCTACCTACGAGCGATGGTATGAGACACAAAAGATTTATTCACATTTAAATGCTGGACTGCTCTTGTGGTTTTCCAGACAAATATAAAAAACTCACATTATGTCGCTTGAATTCCATCACAAACAACTTTTTTTTCTGGAAAATTCTCAACAAAATGCTTTTGTACGCTTGTAAACAATATAAAGAGCTGTAACTGGAATAATTTTAACAGCTGTCGGACGAATGGCTTAGAAATAAGAGCAGTCTGAAATTGGTTGCATTTTTTTCATCCCACCATGTATTCATGTATAATTTACCCAACCTGCATGCTAAGTTTCGTTAGGGGTTGGATCATAATTGCGACCGCTCGGCGAGTTAGGAAGATCGATATATAACATCCCATGTCTTGAAACAATATTCCGAGCTGTAACATAATTTTTGTCCCAATCAAAACTTTAAGTACTCCCAACACATAGCATTGTATGGTATAATTAATTGTTTCATAATTAGTGGTGCGATTGCGATTTTCTTAAAATTGGACATAGGTCAATATTTCTACTGGTATTACAAATGGTATATTCGGGCATACGACAGTCATGAGGGCCAAGTGTTATGAGGGCTAAGACCTATAATTCATTTTTGGATTTTTTGTGTGATAGCTAAGTCACCATTTCTACTACCAATTCCATCGATAATATTTTAAAATTTGACAAAGAATTCATCGAGCGGCATTCTGCTCTAGAAAATTATTTTTACAATATTGATGACATTTTGTGGCATACCAGTGTTAAAACATTAAACCTATCATCTAAATCCTCCCTATGAAATACGTGCAAATCAGCCTAACATATTAGTTATACTATATTTCTAAATTATTAAATATATTTGATTTTATATATGTTTAAAATATCTATTCAATTGTGTTTTTAAATTAAGACCACAATTGGAAATTATTGAATATCAAATACCAAAGTTTCATTGCCATAACAAAACTGTAATCATTATATTGCCACACCCATTTATTCTGCTATTATTCAATATTTGCATAAAACCTACATATCTTTCCATGTTTTGCTTCATCTTTTCAGGCAATCCGGACACATTAATTTGTGGCAATTGTCGAGAATGTTTCAACGAACTGGCTGAGTTATTGGACCACAAAAGGACTTATTGCAAACTACGCTTTACATGCAAATGCCAGGATCTAACGATGCCAACAAGTAAGTACGAGTCTATCCAACATGTTGGAAATATTAGTTCTCTTTTTCCCATTTACAAAATACAACAATGGCACCAACAATAATACCACAATGTTACAATACATAATAATTAGTATAAAGATGATGACAATGGTGTTGATGGTTATGTGAAGATGATGATGATGAGCTTGATAATTTTTATTACAACGCCATATGTTGCAAGGCATTCATGTATACATATTTAACACCAGTTACTTCAGGCTGGAGCGTGCATTGAGTTGTAACGTGGTCTATCCAGAACAAAGTCTGTTGTATTTGCATAGAGTTTCTTAAAGTTTAACATATGCATCTAGGGAATTTGTCTACAAATTTTGCAGTGTTAAATAAATTGTTGTTGGAAGTGTGGAAAGGATATGCATTGATGTTAGTAATTAATTCATTATTGTTTAACACTTGTGCTAAGTTACTACCCAGGGGCTGTGATTAGAATCTTAAGTGTTGAAAACAAATTGTTTTATTAAAATTGAAAGGAGGCGATTTTAACTTCACATACGATTTAATATTCTGAGGGTGAGTCTAAAATTGTTGAAATAAAGGTTATTAAACGATAAAAGCATTTAAAAAATATGTAAGAGCTGAATCAGATTTTTTGAAAACGCTCGAATAAATGCAAATTTCTTTTTAAAAAATTGAGTTGATGAAGTTTTGGTCTAGTGACTTCTCCATTGTATCCATATGCCCGTGATGAAAATAACTTTGAGAAAATCAGGGCTGCCTCCCTAGCGTGAGCGCTGACAGTGCGTTCACCACAGGCTCTCCTATGATAAAAGGGTTTACCACTGGCTCACCAACGTTAAAAGGGTTCATCAAAGCTCACCTATGGCAATGTAGTTCACCACCGGCTATGGCAATAGGCACTGGCCCATCTATGGTAAAAGGATCCACCGCTGACTCACCTATGGATATAGGTTTCACCAGTGACTCACCTATGTCAATAGGGTTCAACATTGGTTCGTGTATGCAAATAGGGTCCAACACGGGCTCACCTATGGCAATAGGGTTCACCACTGGCTCACCTATTGACATAGAGTCCACCACTGGCTCACCTATCGATATAGAGTTCACCACAGGCTCACCTATTGACATAGAGTTCACCACAGGCTCACCTATTGACATAGGGTTCACTACTGCCTCACCTATTGACATAGGGTTCATCACTGCCTCACCTATTGACATAGGGTTCACCATTGGCTTACCTATTGACATAGGGTTCACCACTGGCTCACCTATTGACATAGGCTTCACCACTGGCTCACCTATTGAAATAGAGTTCACCACTGGCTCACCTATTGACATAGAGTTCACCACTGGCTCACCTATTGACATAGGGTTTACCACTGGCTCACCTATTGACAAAGGGTTCACCAATGACTCACCTATTGACATAGGGTTCACCAATGGTTCACCTATTCACATAGGGCTCACCTATTGACATAGGGTTCACCTCTGGCTCGCATACTGAAATAGCGGTTACAACTGGCTCAATTGAAATAGCGTTCACCTATTGACATAAGGTTCACCACTGGCTCACCTTTTGAAATAGCGTTCACCACTGGCTCACCTATGAAAACAGGCTTCGCCCATGGCTCACCTATGAGAATATGCTTCACCAATGGCTCACCTATGAGAATAGGCTTTACAAATGACTTACCTATGAGAATAAACTTCACCAATGGCTCACATATGAGAACAGGCTTAACCACTGGCTCACCTATAAGAATAGGTCTTAACACTGGCTTATCTCTTAGAATTGGGTTCACTACTGGCTCACCTATGAAAAATAGTCTGAACAACGGGCCTAATTATGAGAATAGGCTAAAATTGTTCACCACTGACTCCCCGGGGATTGTGTTACACAGACTCACAACTGGCTCCCCTATAAGAATAGGATTCAACACTGAGTCAGCTATAAATTAAATTTTAGGTAACCATAGCGGTATCAAGTATTCTAGTCTAGGTCGGAATTTCCGCAAGCAAATTTAATACTATGTTCCACATGTTCTGCATCATTTATCCCCTAACCTCTAAACCCGAAAGCTAGTGTAATTAAAATATATTTAAAGTGATGCTAATACTAGCCACAAGGCCATTTACATACCATGCAGATATCCTTTGCCAGCAATTTCCAGTCATTCAAGGGCCAAGGCTATGCAATTTATTATGGTATATTGTTACTGTGACCGTTGTTGTTGTTGCTGTTGTTCTTGTTATTTGTTTTAGTCGTTTACACCATAAACATGATGCATGACTTACTGTGGTCAGCAGCAAACATGCCAGAGGTTGGCTCATGTTAAAATGTTTGGAAAATTGAGTTGTTTATGAGTCTGAGTCGAAACATAAACACCAAGTGCAACGGCAGCAGCAACAGCATAGGAAGGATGCCCATTAGACAAGTTTTTGTTAAACATTTAAAACAGCTTGATAAGTTTTCTTCCCCTCCATCCTCCCTGCCCTGCACTTTGTTAAAACTTGTAACCTTATACTCATTTTTACTCTCACTTTGCAGGAAACCCAGTCATTGGCGCTAAATTGTTGTGTGCCGTTTGCAAGGATGCCTTCACCAATCCCTGGGATCTAATGGTGCATGCCCAGGCAGCCCATATGGTCAACATTTATGAATTGGGCAGTGAACCCAATAACAACAGCAGCAACGCGGCCAACAATAACACTGCCAACATCCTCAATGAGGAGGCCAACCTAACGGGGACAACAGATGCATTAGCATCGGCTACAAATATCAACGTCAGCGCCAATGAGCCGCCCAATAACAATGGTCCACATTGCAACAATGACAATGACTCCAACAACAACAGCACCAAGAACCACAATGGTATCATCATATCGCGTGATGCAAATTGTTTCTCTCTCACCGGTAAAATTGAAGCCCCCACCACATTGGGCGCCATCACCACATCGGCATCGTCATTGTCTTCGTCATCATCGCCATCACCATTGACAACTACAGTGGCCAATATAAACGGCACGGATATTGGAGTAACGACCAGCGCCGTCACCAATGACACCAACAATAACAATGCGTGCAATGGCACTGCAATGTCGCTGGAACTGGGTCACTCGAGTGATACGGAGACTCATTTGGAGCTTAAATTTGGCATTTGCAATAGTCCTATTGCCACAATTAACAAAGAGGTGAGTTCCGGTTTATCAAAATGAACGATTTTTTTGGGAGGATGAATAACAAAAAAAGCGACAATCGCAGATGCATGTGTTCTCTTTCAATTTAAAATGACAAATCGCCAAATCGGCAATGATTTTTAAATTAAAATGAAGGAAGGGTATGAAGGTATTCTATACAAATTAAAGGCTTGAATAGGAATCACACTATCTCATTAGCGGGGATTCGCTCAAACAGGGTTTCACCAATAGTGAAGGTATTCTATACAAATTAAAGGCTTGAATAGGAATCGCACTATCTCATTAGCGGGGATTCGCTCAAACAGGGTCTCACCAATAGTTCAATTACTGGAATACAATTCAAACCAGTCTTACCTATGGGGATATTGGCATAGGGTTTACCACTGGCTCACCAATTGGCATAGGGTTCACTACTGGCTCACCTATTGGCATAGGGTTCACTACTGGCTCACCTATTGGCATAAGGTTCACCACTGGCTCACCTATTGGCATAAGGTTCACCACTGGCTCATCTATTGGCACAAGGTTCACCACTGGCTCACCTATTGGCATAGGGTTTACCACTGGCTCACCTATTGGCATAGGGTTCACCACTGGCTCACCTATTGGCATAGGGTTCACCACTGGCTTACCTATTGGCATAGGGTTCATCACTGGCTCACCTATTGGCATAGGGTTCACCACTAGCTCACCTATTGGCATAGGGTTCACCACTGGCTCACCTATTGGCATAGGGTTCACCACTGGCTCACCTATTGGCATAGGGTTCACCACTGGCTCACCTATTGGCATAGGGTTCACCACTGGCTCACCTATTGGCATAGGGTTCACCACTGGTTCACCTATTGGCATAGGCTCACTTATTGAGAATAGGGTTCACCTATTGAGAATAGGGTTCACCGCTGACTCACCTATTGGCATAGGGTTCACCACTGGCTCACCTATTGACATAGGGTTAACCACTGGTTCACATATTGGCATAGGGTTCACCACTGACTCACCTATTGGCAAAGGGTTCACCACTGACTCACCTATTGACATAGTGTTCACCAGTGGCGCATCTATTGAGAATAGGTTTCACCACTGGCTCACCTATTGAGAATAGGGTTCACCACTGGCTTACTCCTAAAAATAGGGTTCACCAAGGGCTCACCCATGAGAATAAGGTTCACCTATAGAAATGGAGTTAACCACTAGTTCACCTCTAGAAATTTTACGAACATTTGGCTACCATTTTGATGTGGGATTTAGCCCCAGCAATTAAATATATGTCCGTCTTCTTTAAGTTCTGGGTACAAAATTATGGAATCTTTTGAGTTTTCACCATTTTTCCCTTGAATTGTGAGGAACCTATCAATAGAAGAGGATCTTAACTTGTAATATTTTAATATTCTTAATACACCAACTTTTTCTTAAACCCTCCCCTAAATAATTTGCCATTTATTTTCTATATTTTAGGAACCCACAAATCTTGATGACGGATCGCGAGATGAACGCATGTCCGATGATGTAAAAGTGTTACGCAGTAATGGTTCCGTATCTTCACGAGGCAGTACCCCAACCATGGACAATGAGGATGTGGCACGAATGCAACAGAGAGCCTGCATTGTACGCACTTTAAGCTTTGTGAGTATGCGAAAAATAAATAAATAGCTGTAAATTTAATTCCATAGTCCTCGTTCGCAATCAAATTAATAATTTCAATTAATTAAAAAACCGCACTGAAAAAGTAAACAGTCAAATTAAGTGAAAATAATTGAAAGCCTTAATAACGTCAGACACAGGCTAACAAGCACAGACACCGACACCAACAAATATCCAGAATCCAAAACTCAAATTGAAACTGAAATAAAAAAATATATATTTTTATAATTACAAATACGTTCCCCCTGCCCTCACAACACTCATTTCATATGCAATTGTTTTGTTTGTTTGTCCGATTTTACAGGAGGCCGCCGCCACTACCACCAGTGGGAGCACACCAACAACATCGGCCACACTTGGCTTAATAACCAACAGTTTGGCTTTAGGCCTGAATAGCAGTAGTGCGGTGTCATCAGCAGCTGCTGTGGCGCCACAATAGGGCATACCACAGGCTCAAGCCGCTCAAACTCGTACATTTAAATTCCCGAAAAACCGCAGAAAAAAAGTAAAAAATTTCATCAGCCATGCCCATCCCCGTGCTCATCATCATCAGCAGCAGCATCAACATGGATATGAGAATAGCAGCAACAACACCACCGCCCCACGTTACACAACAATGGCCACGGTGGCAGCAAAGACAGCAGCAGTGGCAGCAGCTTCCGTTGAAAACAAACAATTTGTTCGCACTTTTATGTCCTGTTATCCTCTGCCGACCCATTGTGTCTGGAGATCGGAACAACAAATATTTGGCGGACAGCAACGCTGATGGCTGGCAAACGCCTGTGGCCAGTATCACCACCACCAACACCTCCACCATCACCATCCGCAACATCAGCAGCATCCCTTAGCCAGGAAACAACAACAAAATAAAGCTAACCAAATGAACGTCAAGATTATAAATAATTTAAGCCTTCAGTTGCAGTTCAGTTGAACTCTCCAAAAACTCAAAACAATGGTAAATATATTTGAGGATTGTTATTGCATTTTATAGTTGTTTTTTGTTTGGTTCTCTCTTTTTTTTTGGGAAAATTGTTTTGTGCTCTTCCCACAAAACGAAAACCATGCCCTCACACGCGAAAATGAATAAAATTTGTTATGCGGTAACGACGATGAGTACGAGAGAGTGTTTTTGTGAAATATGGTTTATATTTGTTTTTGGAACTATGGTAAATAACCGCTGTTGTATTGAAATTCAAAACTTAATAGTGGTCTTTATTATAAAAATAATCCATACGGACAATGATGAGCACACACACACATTGGAAACTTCTTAAAGTTAATTTTGTTTTTATACCCTACAACACTATGTGTTGGGGGTATTATAAGTTTGATTGGGTCAAAAATTATGTAACACCTCGAAATATTGGTCCACCACATAGGAACCTATATATGGATCTTCCCATCTGAGTGAGTCGATCTAGCTATGTATGTCCATCCGTCTGTTCATGTTAATTTGTAATCACGCTATTATGGTCCTCAATTGAAAATGGAGTTGAGGTTTGGGTCAAAATAGAAGCCTACTGTTTTTGGAGAAGGTCGCATAAAAAGGGGTTGAAATGGACCAAAAACTGAAAAATTCTTGACTTTGCCCTTGCTCTACATGTTGACGCGCAATTTTGCATGAAGTAAGAATTTAGGGCTGGAAGCTGGAAGAAGCCTACCAATATGGACGGTCATCGGACAATATTCAGTGGGTAACATAAACCATAACTATTACTTAAGAAAATACGGAAATTTTAACTAAACCGCAAATATATATAATTCAGGTGAAATCACAAAATACATTAAAAGGCCACTTCAGACCACTATTGTAATATCGGATAATTAAGGTTAAATTAAAAAACTGCAACAAAGTCAAACGCCATTGTTGTGACATTTATTTTTTATATTTTATTGAATGAAAGCAAAAAAATGTCGGAAATAGCATCAAATTTTAGAATAAGTTTAGATTTTTTCGAATTGGTCACCTTTGTGTTCTGTGGTATTTTGGCCCATTCCCGGCGAAGCGTTTGCTTGAGGTGATCGACACTTTGGTATTTTTTAGGGCCAACCTTGCTTTCCAAAATACTCCAGATACAATAGTCCAACGGATTTGTATCCGGAGATTTTGGTGGCCATTGTACGCTGGAAATGAAGCAAGGAACCTCATTTTGTAACCATTCCTGGGTGGGTCATGTTGGAATGTCCAAGGTCTGCGGCCAAAATGTTTGCTTGCCCAAGCTTTTAATACACCCTCTAGAATATTTTCACGATAATTCACGCATTTATTCTGATGCTACGGTCGATTAATACGAGTTGAGAGCGACCATCTTCTGTTATGGCGGCCCACACCATGGCCTGCGCTTGAGTTCTAGTGGCCGACCGAAGGTGCACATTTTCAGCTTACGTTTTAGGCAAGTAAACACTTTCATCATTTTGTTTGTTTACAAACGGCTGGACAACGAATGTTTTCTCATCGGAGAAAATCAAATTCGGCTGTTTACTACTTTCGGCCAAGCGAAGCTACTCTTTAGCTCTTTTAAGTCTATTTTCTTTCTGTTGCAGTGTAAGTTTTTGCACTTTTGGGAATTTTAATGGCTTTACTCTTACCCGAGCTCATTTTTCATTATTTGCCGAATGGAATATTGCGATGTGTTCAGCTCACGAGTCATTTTTCGTCCACTGTGACGCGGGTTATGATATTTGGACATAAGGGGGCTTCCAACATATTTTATTGTTGTAGGGTATCATATGGTCGGCCCTGCACGACTTTAGCCTTTGCTTACTTGTTTTTATGCCCTAAACAACATTGTGGTAAGGGTATTATGTCTTTGTGCACTTGTTTGTAACAGGGAGAAAGAGGCGAGATATACCCATAGGATTTTCATATAATTACTTTCTGAGTCGATTTATGAATGTCTGTTCATCCGTCCGTATCCGTCCCATTTATTGTCCGATTGAGATGACATTTTGCAAACAATATTTGTTTTGGGCCAAGGACGAACCCTATTGAAATTAGTGATAATCGGATCAGATTAAGATATAGCTCCCATATATCTTCAACCGATTACGGGTTAATTGCGCACCAAGTGGCCAATATAAGTCCTAATGACCTGAATTTTGGTATATTCCACCGAATTCAGTCTAGAAGCAATTACCTCAAATTTGGAGAAAATCGGTTCAGATATAGCTATAGCCCCCATAAATATGTTTCATTCGATTTGGTGTTTCAGTCTCTCACATGCATAATATGCACTCCAAATCAATGATATTTGGTACCGGATTGAGATCGGTTCAGATTAGAATATATCTCCCATATATACCTTTATCCGATATCAGGTTTATTGTGCAACAAGTGGCTAATATCAGCCTAAATGAACTGAATCAAATTTGGCGTAAATCGGTTCAGATATAGCTTTAGCACCCATAACTGAGTTTAATCCGATTAGGGGATTAAAGTCCCTCACATGCGTAATATGAATTCCACATCAATGACCTTTGGTTTCTGATATCATATACAGCTCTAAAATAAGTTGATCAAATTTTGTTTTGACATGAATTTTGGCACATCCTACATAATTCAGTCTAGAAGCAAGTACATCAATCGGTTCAGGTATAGCTATAGCTCCCATATATATGTTTCATCCGATTTGGTCCCTCACATTTTAAGTCCCTCACATTCGTAAGTCCCTCACATTCTTAACATGCATTCGACAACAATGATATTTCGGACCAGATATTTTATAGAGCTCGGAAATACACTTGCCAAATTTTATCGAAGTCGGCTAAGATTTGAATATAGCTTCCATATATATCCATTATTCGATTTCAGATTTATTCTGCAAATAATGGCTAATATCAGCCCAAATAGAGTGAATTTTGGGACGTACGTTTCTATTTTGTGGAACTCGGTTCCGATACATATTTTTTAATATAATCCTTCTCGAAGTGATATCATGCCCTCTATAGCAATGTTATTTGGTATAAAGTACAGGGTTGCCCATATTCGACGGACCTTTGGGCCCAATCCAATCGACGAGGCTTGTCCGCAGGCAACATTCTTTGCGTCAATTGTAAATTTTGTACGGGAACAAATGCAAATCAATGCGAATAATCCGTTGTAAAGTGGACCGAGCCATTTCCAATTGCTGAGAACGGCGTTTTTGGGATGTTCTTGGGGACCTCTCAACACTGGCTCGTACGGCAGCGATATTCTCGGCCGATCGCCTTGGTCGACTTTTATATGGCCTCTTCGGATTAGAAAGAGCCTTACCAGTCGAAAATTTTTCATATAAACGCTTAATTGTGTTCTTAGAAGGTGCACTTCTCACATTTTTTAATGTTTTAAAAGCACGTTGAGTTTTCACAATTGACTTCTTCTGTTGAATGTAAATTTCAACTATTTCAGAGCGGTCGTGGTATGATCTACTTCAAATAAATCCTATAGTAATGGGAGCTCTACTAAATGTGCATAGGGGTGTTGTGTATCATATTGTCGGACAAGCCCGACTTTTGACTTTTCTTTACTGGTTTTATTTATATGGTGTGTAAGTTCGACTTTTGAAAATGGTGAACTTTTTGAAAATGTGAACTACAATACAAATCGTCGTTGTTTATTTTCACAAAACATTAATTTTTCTATTTTTAAAAAAATAAAATTTTTTCCAAAGTTTCAATTTAAATATATTCTCATTTTTTATTGTTTTTCATTATTTACTCTTTAATAAATATATTTTTTGTATATTTCATAAAATATTCATTAAAATGTTAAGAATAAATATTTTTTTAGATATCTTTTCATAGAAAAGAAGTTAACAAGAAAAATCCCAAACGTAAATTTAAAATAAGTATATAAACCATAATAACAAAAAAACATTTACAAATTATGCAAAACATATCATTTTCGAATTAGTCAATCGAATGTATTTAAAATGCAAACAAAAATAGTGTTAAGAAAATAAAATATTGATCAATTAGATATTCTAGGTAGTAAAAAAATTATTTATAGGAACCTGTATAAAAAAACTTAAAATTAAAAAAAAAAAAAAATAATTTTTGAAAGGTATATAGTATTATAGTCCTTTCTTCTAATTAACCGAATATTTTTTTTATGTGTTCAATTTGTGTTAATTTATTAATAATGTTAATTCTAATATTTTAAAATTTTTCTTCATATACAATATATTTTTGTCATAAGGTGTAAAATCCCAAAAACATAAATTGTTTGTCTGCAATGAAATTTTATATTGGGGAAAAATATAAAAATGTTTTACAGGGTGAGATAAAAAAAAAAACTGCAGCAAACTCAAATTCCATAATTTTTACATTTTTTTAATTTATTGAATGAAAACAAAAAATGTCGGAAATAGCATCAAATTTTAGAATAAATTTGGATTTGTTCGAATTTGTCTTCTACGGCACGAATTATGTCCTTTAAACGGCAATGAAACCGTCACACGCTGCTCGAATATTGCTCTGTGGTATTCATTCGCCCATTCCCGGCGAAGCGCTTGCTTGAGGTGATCGACACTTTGGTATTTTTTAGTGCCAACCTTACATTCCAAAGTACTCCAGATACAATAGTCCAACGGATTGGTATTCGGAGATTTTGGTGGCCATAGTCCTCGCTGGAAATGAAGCGAGGAACCTCATTTTGTAACCATTCTTGGCTGGCGCGTGCTGAGTGCGATGATGCTGAGACCTGCTGGAATGTCCAAGGTCTGCGGCCAAAATGTTTGCGTGCCCAAGGCTTTAATACACCCTCCAAAATATTTTCATATTTCAATATTCAGCATTTATTCTGATGCCACCGTCGATAAATACGAGCGGAAAGCGACCATCGGCTGTTATGGCGGCCCTCACCATCACCATGGCCGGCGCTAGAGTTCTAGTGGCCAACCGAAGGTGCAAATTTTCAGCTGACCTCTTTGGCAAGTATACACGATCATTTTGTTTATTCACAAAGTGCTGGAAAACGAATGTCTTCTCAACGGAGAAAACCAAATTCGGCAGTTCACCTCTTTCGGTCAAGCGAAGCAACTCTTTATCTCTTTAGAGTCTATTTTCTTTCTGTTGCGGTGTAAGTTCCTGCACTGTTTGGAATTTCAATGGCTTTACCCCGAGCTCATTTTTAAACATTTGTCGAACGGAATATTGCGATATGTTAAGCTCAGGAGCCATTGATCAAGTCGCTTCTTTATTTTTCGGACCATTTCTGCTGATGTTGCTGTTTTCTTCCGTCCACTTCCTTGACTTTGGGCTTCGCTACCAGTATCACGGTAACGAGCGATGATACGAGACACAAACGATTTATTCACATTTAAATGCTGGAGTGCTCTAACGATAGCCACTTGTGATTTTCCAGCCAAATATAAATAAATCACACTATCACGCTTGAATTCCATCACGAATAACTTTTTTTCTGGAAAATTCTCACCAAAATGCTTTTGTACGCTTGCAAACAATATAATGAGCTGTCACTGCAATAATTTTAACAGCTGTTGGACGAGTGGCTTAGAAATGGCAGTGGTCTGAAGTTGGTTGCAGTTTTTTCATCTCACCCTGTATTTTAATATTAATACATAAAAATCTGAAATAGTGAAACTATTCTATATTCCACAACACTACGCTTGGGTTCTTTGCAATCAAGTAAAAATAACCTTAAATTTGTGGATCAATGCAGGATTTGTGAATTCCAAACAGCTTGGATTTATTGCAAGGTAACCTATCCGTGTTAATAATTTCACTCTGATGGCAAGCATTTGATGTATTTCATGATTGATTATTTTTTTTAATAAGAATTAAACTAATTTATTTTAAAAATTAAAATTATACAAAATAATGTAATAGAATTTAAAAAACAAAATGCTTCAAATCAAAGAAAACCAAATGGAAAAGTATTATCAGTAGCTAGTATTGTAAAACAATATAAAAAAAAATAGTTGAAATTAACAAATATTATAAACGTTTATACAAAAATTGTGTATAAGCAAACAAAAACAAAAAAAAAAAAAAATAATAATAATACAAATAGAAAACCAAAGATAGCCTAGAATATATTTAATCAAAATAAATATTAAAAAACAATAAAAATTATAACCAATGGTTAATTATAGCCAATCATATATACATATGTATTTCTATTTAGCATATATGATTTTATAAAAGTAATCAAAAAATGTTTATATATTTTAATTTTATTTTATATTTTCTTTAACCTCTTATTGTAACTATGTTAACCTTAAAAAAATATATATAAAAATAAATGTATGTATTAACATGTAAATTTTATAAAATAAACTTTTAAGGCATGAAATAACAAAAAAATCATCAACTAAACCATTAATGTCCTCCATACCAAAAATACTAAATATCAACAAAATATAATCACAAAAGAAATGTATAACAAACAAAATTAAAAACCTAACCCCAAATCAATAAAACAAATGTATGAATTTATTTAAACCAAAAAATGCGTTTTTCTTTAAAATCATAAAGGATAATATTTTTGGGTGTTTAATTCTGGGTATAGTAAATAGCAGGGTTTACAACGAGAAACCAAGATACAGCCATGACAATAACTAAAATCAGGCAATATCTTTATATAAGGGTTGTGCCATAAAGTGTTCCTAGATTGAGGTTTTTTGCGTTTCTAGTTAAAAAGAATGCCAAAATAAAATAGGAAATGTGGATAAAATGTAAAAATACTTGAATTCGAAAAAGTTAACCGATTAGACCCATTTCCTATTGCAATGATTCTGGATGTTATACAAAGATCTTTATCATATTTCAAAGCCCTATCCTAATTGTTCCTAAATTTATCTTAAATTATAGTGGTCCCTGTGATTATGGTAAAAACTATATAAGGACATTAACAACGTTTGGCCTAAGAATTCGGAACTCCTTTGGGGCTATTATCTACAAACATGTATTATGAAGTCCACTTGAAATTATCCAAACCCTTGATGGGCTACAGTAGAATTTTAAGAACATTTGCGGAGAATTGGGAAAAAGTTCTAAATTTTCAGAAATAAACAAAGTTTAACAAAAATTGATGATATTTTTCATGTTACATATTGAATATAAAAATTTATTTTCTTTAGAGAATCGTAATAAAATTGGATCTAGAATAATTCCTACTTTTACACCTTTCAAAAATGAAGAATAAACAAGATTTTCAGGGCTGTCACAGAAACCATGTCGGTTTTGCTTATTGTCGTTTGTGTAAACCAATGTTGGTTTCATGACACCAAATGAAACCAACATTGGTTTATGGTCCTTTAAAAATTCTTTAAAAAATCCTTAAAAAATCCACGTAAGCCCTTTAAAAAAACTTTAAAAATCCACGTTTATAGTCCTTTAAATATCCTTCTTTAAAAAATCCACGTCTATAGTCCTTTAAAAATTGTTTAAAAAATCCACATTTTTAGTCCTTTGAATAACCTTTAAAAATTGTTTAAAAAATCCACATTTTTAGTCCTTTGAATAACCTTTAAAAATTGTTTAAAAAATCCACGTTTATGGTCCTTTAAATATCCTTCTTTAAAAAATCCACGTCTATAGTCCTTTAAAAATTGTTTAAAAAATCCATTTTTGATAAAAAAATAAAAAACATTTTAGTCCATTGAATATCCCTTAAAAATTGTTTAAAAATCCAAATTTTTAGTCCTTTGAATATCTTTAAAACTTGTTTAAAAAACCCAAAGCAAATGAAAAGTGACAAAAAAATCCACGTAATGGTCCTTTAAATATCCTTTAAAAAATCCACGTTTATAGTCCTTTAAAAAATCCACGTTTATAGTCCTTTAAAAAATTTTTAAAACATCCACATTTATAGCCCTTTAAAAAATCTTTAAAAAATCCACGTTTATAGTCCTTTAAAAAATCTTTAAAAATCCACGTTTATAGTCCTTTAAATATCCTTCTTTAAAAAATCCACATCTATAGTCCTTTAAAAATTGTTTAAAAAATCCACATGTTTAGTCCTTTGAATAACCTTTAAAAATTGTTTAAAAATCCACGTTTATAGTCCTTTAAATATCCTTCTTTAAAAAATCCACGTCTATAGTCCTTTAAAAATTGTTTAAAAAATCCACATTTTTAGTCCTTTGAATAATCTTTAAAAATTGTTTAAAAAATCCACATTTTTAGTCCTTTGAATAATCTTTAAAAATTGTTTAAAAAATCCACATTTTTAGTCCTTTGAATAATCTTTAAAAATTGTTTAAAAAATCCACGTTTATGGTCCTTTAAATATCCTTCTTTAAAAAATCCACGTCTATAGTCCTTTAAAAATTGTTTAAAAAATCCATTTTTGATAAAAAAATAAAAAACATTTTAGTCCATTGAATATCCCTTAAAAATTGTTTAAAAATCCACATTTTTAGTCCTTTGAATATCCTTTAAAAATTGTTTAAAAAATCCAAAGCAAATGAAAAGTGACAGCTCTAAGCAACTTGGTTTATTTCCAATAACAAAACCAATAACATTGACAACCAAAACCGATAAAATTGTAATTCGAAAATAAAACCGATAACATTGATTTTCATGACACCAAAGCATTTTTTCTTGACGTTTTTAAAACCAATAGTGACGAAATTGGTTTCTATGACAGCCCTGTTTGACTTGGATTGGAAACGTAATAAATGAACAGTTAATA